GGGTCAATAACCCTTTATGCTACCAATTTTTTCAGAATATAAAATATCTTACTATTCCCAACTAAAAATAACATCTTGTTCTTAGGAATATTTGGTTCCAGCTATATCTGAAGTTAAAAAAAAAAAAAAAAAAAAAGTTCTGTCACACCTGTAATCCCAGCACTTTGGGAGGCAGAGGCAGGCGGATTACCTGAGGTCAGGAGTTCAAGACCAGCCTGGCCAACATGGTGAAACCCTGTCTCTACTAAAAATACAAAAAAATTAGCCAGGCGTGGTGGCGCACACCTGTAATCCCAGTTACTCAGGAGGCTGAGGCAGGAGAACAGCTTGAACCTGGGAAGTGGAGGTTGCAGTGAGCCGAGATCGCACCACTGTACTTCAGCCTGGGCAACAAGAGCGAAATTCTGTCTCAAAAAAAAAAAAAAAGTTCTGATTAGATGGCATTTGGATAAAATAGTGAACAAATGTCACCTAAATATTTCATGTAGAGACATATATCTTTCATTTGTGTATATATCCTTCATTTATCTATATCTGCATAATACACACACACAGTCGTCTGCTCCCACGCATCCCCCACCAGCCCTTGGCTTTTGTTGTTAATAAAATGAATCCAGATGGGGAATTGAATTTTTCATGCTGTTATTAACCCCTGCTATTTTTTAAGCCTTAGGGAAATACAGTTCTGTGATATTCTTCCCTCAAAATGATAAGCAAAATATTTCTGAAAATAACCGCCATATCCCCGGAAGTCACTGTTTTTATCATTGCATAAAGGCTTTAACGATATTTTTGCTTACTTCTATTCTTTTTCCTTTTAGAAAATGTTTTCACTTTCCAACTTTTAAATCAACATGTAGTACTATTTTTGTATCATTACTTTGGCAATAACAATACAGAAGAGAAAAAGTTACTCAGTAAAACAAAGTACAGCAAAATTAGTATTTTTAACGCTGTGTTACTCTAAGAAACTTTGTAGTTGATTTCAAAAACCTTTGTATTCAATATGCTACCCTATATATGAAATTGTGATTCTAATATACATAATGACATGTAATGAGTGACAATCCCTACTCATTACTACTTAATCACTACTTAATTTCTATGAAGCTTCTTTCTAAGCTATCAAACTCCAAAAGCAAATACTCGCTTTAAAGTATGTTTAATAGTTACATCAGCTAACCCTACTGTGGCCTACTACTTTCGTTCCCTTTACATCAGGCCAAGGGATGCCCCTGAGGACAATTAGCAGGTATGTAACACCTTACCAGTTATTGCATTCTAGTCTTGAATACTACTTATTCATTGTGTCATTAAGATAAATGATAAAAACGTACAGTGTTTATCATATACCAGCTCTTTTCAAAGAGCTTCACATTTTTATCTCATTTAATCCTCACATTAACCCTATGAGGTACGGATCATTATACAGATAAGAAAACAGAGGTAGAAGGGTTTTTTAGACTCACTACCCATCATCCTATATACTTCATATATTCCATACATCATACTCCATATATACCAACGACAGGTAGTCAAAGGCTGTCAAATAATTCTATCATATTCAGACATAATCATTTACAAATTCTGCTTCTAGTTCACAGTCAATAGTATCATCTACTCCACTCATTTCATTTTACTCAATGAGCAAGCTAAAATTAGACATGAGACTGGCCTGAGGTCTCTCAATAAGAGCTAGCATTTAAAGGCAAGGCAATAAATTCTGAAATTTACTTGTCTCATTTAAATCTTGCAATAACTTGTACAATAGATATTATTATTTTTCCCATCAAGTAAGAGTGAATTGAGGCCATGAGAGTCAAGTAACTTGCCAGGTCTGGCTGCCTTCCAAATCTCTCCGCCTTAACCACTGAGGAGTAGAGAACACGGGGCTCCAGCTGCCAAGTGCTCATTCCATTGCCCCACTTTGTTTCTTACCTATTCATTTTAAATAGGTCATTTTGTCAGGGGCCCCTTAAAAGGACAGAGAGATGGCATTTACACAGTGTGAACTAAAATTTGATTTTTAACATGACTTATTCTGCCCTAAAGGTAAGACGTAAGATTATCACCATTTGGAGATATTTTCTACCCAGGAATAATTTCAAAGTATTAAGCTGGCCATTTGGAGCCAAGAGATTATGGCACTGTCCATCTGAAACTCCCCAGTGCGGCGGAAGCTGAGGTCAATAATAACTCACCCACTATCTTCTCTTTCCAAGTAACGGCATAGGAAACTAAAAAACTTTCCCTCTACAATAGACACCTTTCGGTTTGCGGAGAGTTCAATTAATAACTTTAGTTAAAGCAACTATAAAGAAAAACAAACCAACTCAAAACACTCCCAAAATAAGGTTAACCTGAAATTAGCCTGGGAATAGGAAGCAACTAGTCAAGATAAACCAAGTAAGTGGCCATCACTGTTTTTATTAATATTAACTGTAGCTGACCACTGATAACTAGCACTGCATTCCTAAGAAAAGGCAATACCATTTCCTGTACTGGCTTTGACTTTCAATTAAAATCATGTAACGTCAAAATCACTGAAATTACTATTTTCTTTCATGGCAAATTGGACCAGATAAATCTGACTTACTACTTGATATCATCATCCCTTTGGGTTGTAATGGACAGGAATGAAGACACTCTTCTTATATGCAAAAAAAATATTAAGTATTTGCAAACAACATACATTTAAAATCATTTTAAAACTCTATGGCTGTTACAGGACCTTTTCAATCTCTAGAAAAATTAAATCGTGTATACACAAAGTTTAATAGTCCGTTAAAAAGTGTGAAAAGTTGAAGCTTGTAAAGAAACAGTCCAGAACTACCAACCCAAAGAAAAATGGCACTTTCCTGCTAACATCTACACGCTGGTATGTTCGTCGTGGACAGCAAAAATGTGCATGGGGGTGGGGAGTCAGGGAGAGGAGAAGGGTCATTTACATATTTCTCAATGCAAGTATACGAATTTAGAGGTCTTCCTCAAAAACACATGCACTCCTAAGCCTCCAAAGTCATGCTGCTATATTTAACCATATCAAAACAGTCAGAACATATCAGGCATGTTAAAAGATAAGAAACAAACCTTTTTTCTTTTGACACGTGTCTGTCTTCCTCCAGAAAGAACGTCACGCTGTACCGAGTCTGGACATTCACTTTCTTGGCTCCCCAACAGCTGCACCTTACAAGAAAGTAAGGTGTGACACTCAGAAATGGCCACAATGGACTCAGATGGGGTCTTTGAGTCACGACAGCCTTTCCCATTTTCCCCTGATGTTTGAAAAGGAGCCTTAAAATTTAAAGGGTTGTAAGGGTCATCAGAATTACAGAAAGAGTTCCACAGTTTGAGACTCTCTGCTTCATCTGCACTAGATTCCCAATCATCTTCCTCCCCAGAACTATGCTCAGGGGTCTCAGGAAGGCTTCCAGACTGGGAGGAATTCTCTAGATCAGACTTGCCAGACAAATCCTTCTCTGAATCAGAAGGCTCTTCAGGAACAATTCTGGCAGCAGTCTGAATTGTTGCTGTAAAGTTCTGGGGATTATAAGGATCTACACTGTAGAAAGAGTTCCAAAGGTGAAGCCCTTCAGGGTCTTGCTCAAGGTCTGAGTCTGACAGTGAGCTATCACTATCAAAACCATCATCCTCAGCTTCCTCATCCCAATCCTCACCTTCTGGATCAGAACTTGTTTCCAGGTCACTGGATGCACCTCCCAAAATATAATCTATCAGTTTGTTACTACAAGCTGGTCTGGCAGAAATGGGAAGGTCATCTTTTAGGTATGAGTAATCAACTACACTTATTCGGCCCTCTCCAGGCTCCTTTTCCATAGGTATCTCACAAGATGGACAGCTCTCAGAAGGGCTCTGTTCTTCCAAAGCAAGTGGAACCTCTGCAGTTAATATTTCTATTTTTTCTTCAGCGGATTCCTGGGTGGTTCCAGGAATGTCTTCAGCAGCAGGAACAAACTGTGTTGGGTTATCTCTGCAGTGTTTCGGATCCATCCGGAGAAGGCTGTGTTCCTCCTCCAGGCTGTGGTAGCCATTATCCTGGTCAGGGGTGGGTAACTCTTGCCCCTTGCTAGCCTGCTGAAGGAATTCCAGTCGTTTCATGCGAAGATGGTGAATTTCTGGTAGGCCTTCTGTAGAAAGAGGTGGACATCCCTGCCACGAGGCCGGAGTGAGTTCTGCACTCAGCGGCTGGGGATGACAGTGGTCCTCTCTCAGGCAGCTGCTCTCTGCGGTTAGTGTCTGGAAGCCCACTAGCTCGCCATTAACATCACTGTTCTGATAGCTGACTTCTAGCCTAGGAAAGCAGTCCAGGTAGGAGGGGCTCAGCAAATAGGATACCACATTAAAAGTGTCTATGCGTTGAATGTTTAGAGGCCCAGAGAGCGAAGAGCCAAGTTCCCGGTCAGAGTACAGACGGGATTGAAGGCTACAGGACAACAGCTCCACTCCCCCGAGCTGCTGCTCTAAGAGAAAAGCGTGTGCTGCAGGGTCCAAAGCACTTCCCTTGGCCTTAAGCTCCAATTCTAAGTCTGGGGGCGAACACTGCCAGTGGATCCCCTCCTCTAGCCAATTAAGGGGACTGGTGGCCGAGGAGTCTGAGGAGTCGAGCTTCAGCGAACTCAAAGATTTTTGCGCTGTGGAGGCGGCTGGTTTCTCCCGTCCCTTCAGGGATCTGTAGACTCCAGCAAAATCTAGCCATCTGGTCGGAAACATTCCACCGAAAAGTTGGCTCCAAATTAGCACCTTCTGAAGCAATCCGGGGAGCGGCGCAAGGAGCTGGGAGAGCAGCTTCGTCCAGTAGCTGACCCGAGTCTCGGGCTGGGCAGAGGAAAGCAGTGTGGGGTCCCCAAAGTTTTCCGGGGCAAGAGGCGTCGGGAACTTAGAAGAGCCTGCTTGCGATCGCCGAGGGAAAAACGGTGGCCAGAACCGGAAGCCCGCCAGAGTGCCAGGCCGTTTCCGCGACCCGCCTGTCTCAGGCTCCATCTCCTTTTCCTTGGCACTTTCTCGGGTAGGGCCGCGGCGCTCAGCGGCTGGAGGTCGGACGGAATTCGGAGGAAACCTACAGAGTCTCGGCCTTGCCCAGCGGTGGCGTCGGTGCTCCAGGCCGATCTCCGAGCCAGCAGAAAAGCCACAGAGGGCAGCGGATGCGGCAGCGGGCGGCAGAACACAGGGAGAAACACCCCGCGCAATACGCGGCAGCTGATGCGACTTCCATCCTGGAGGGAAAAGACGTTCCCTAGTCGGCTCGACGCTTCAACACCATCGATAGGAGCCAGCCCACGGCCTCGGCGGTGGTTTTCTGAGTGACAGAAGGTTGAAGAACCCCTGAGCAACGCGACACCGGAAGGGCTAGGTAGGTTGGCTGGTGCGGTGGAAGCGAAGCCCAAAATGGCCGCAGGGCCCGCGCGCCGGCAGGACACCTCCCAGCCGCCGGAAGAGACGCAGGACTGCTGGGCGTCTACGCCACTAGCGCCGCGCCGCCCAACGCCTCTCGCAAAGCCCCGGGGGGCGGGGCTTTCCGCCCACTTCCGTGTGGCCGCCGATTGGTCGCGCCGGATTTCCCTGTCGGCTTCCTTACTCGAGGTAGCGCCGCACGGTAGCGCGAGGTTGCATCAGCCGGCGGGATGCAGGCATGCGCAGTTTCTGTGTGGTCTCTTAGGCGACCGCCCCAACAGCCCTCTAGGCTAAAGGGCTTGGGTAGGAAAGGGGTTTTCAAGATAACCCGAGAATTTCCCGGAGGCGTTTTGATGGCCTAATACACACTAACGTGCGTACAGTCATCGCCTCGTATGAAATGGGGATTAGTTCCAGGACGCCGTAGACACCAGAATCGGCAGATTCTGGTCAAGTCCCTTATGTAAAATGGTGTAGTGTTTGCATATAACCTACATACACCTTCCCAGATACTTTAAATCATCCCCTAGATTAAGTAAATTACCTAATACAATGCAAGTGCTATGGAACTAGTTGTTATATTGTATTTATTTGTATTATGTTTTATTGTCTTTATTTTTCCGGAATATTTTCAATCCATGGAAGGTTGAATGCCCTGTGGGCCAATTATAGGGTTATCGTAGTCTTAAATTTTTATTATTTATTTGTTTGAGACAGGGTCTGGCTGTGTCGCCCAGGCTGGAGTGCAGTGGTGCGATCTCGGCTCACTGCAGCCTCAACCTCCTGTGCTCCAGTGAGCCTCCCACCTCAGCCTCCTGAGGAGCTGGAATTACAGGTTCGCACCACCATGTCCAATTTTTTTTTTTTTTTTTTTTTTTTGTGACAGAGACCCACTCTGTCGCCAGGCTGGAGTGCAGTGGCGCTATCTCGGCTCACTGCAACCTCTGCCTCCCGGGTTCAAGCGATTCTCCTGCCTCAGCCTCCCGAGTAGCTGGTACTACAGGCGCGTGCCACCACGCCCAGTAATTTTTTTGTATTTTTGGCAGAGACAGGGTTTCACGATGTTGGCTAGGATGGTCTCGATCTCCTGACCTTATGATCTGCCCACCTCAGCCTCCCAAAATGCTGAGATTACAGGCGTGAGCCACTGCGCTCAGTCAATTTTTGCATATTTTTGTGGAGACAGGGTTTCGTCGTGTTGCCCAGGTTGGTTTCAAACTCGGCTCATGTTATCTGTCTGCCTGGGCCTCCTAAAATGCTGGGGTTACAGGCATGAGCCACCGCGCCCAGCCTGACAGGTATTTCAGGGTTCTCCTATTGTTGAGTACTATGTAGACCATCAACCTGAGATCTTATGTAAAAGGTGGGCAGTGCTGCATAAATACATGTCTGGTATGGGGCAAACTAAACTCAGAGAAGCAGCTCAGTTCCCAGAACTATTTACTCTTTTTTATGCTTCTAAGCAGGCAACATATTCAAATCATATTTATGAATACTTCCTTAGCAACCAGAACCACCGAATACAACACCCAAAAAGGAAACATGGACTACTATCCTTTGAAAAAAAAAATTGTCTGGTAATTTTAATTGCTGTATTTGATTCTGTCTTGTGAGTTTGGTCTTAGTTCATTTCTTTATTTCTGCCAAAACTTTGTAATAGATACTCCTGAAGTCAGATGTCAATTACAGAGGGAGGGTGACAGTTATGAGCACTAGAGACAGCAGAAAAATCTTTAAGGAGCCAGAAGGAGACGAGCAGCTCTTCCTGCCTTACTGGGCCTATTCAAGAACAATCACTTCTTTTTCTTTTTCTTTTTTTTTTTGTTTGTTTGTTTGTTTGAGACCGAGTCTCGCTCTGTTGCCCACGCTATAGTGCAGTGGCGTGATCTCCGCTCACTGCAACCTCTGCCTTCCTGGGATCAAACTATTCTCCTGCCCCGGCCTCCCTAGTAGCTAGGACTATAGGCGCCTGCCACCACGCCTGTCTAACTTTTATATTTTCAGTAGAGATGGGGTTTCACCGTGTTAGCCAGAATGGTCTCGATCTCCTGACCTCGTGATCCACCTGCCTCAGCCTCCCAAAGTGCTGGGATTACAGGTGTGAGCCACCATGCCCGGCACAACCACTTCTTTCTAGGAAGCCAAGAGGACCTCAGTTTCTGTTGTTTATCCTGTATTATTATCCATACCTCTGGAAAATCTCAATCCTAAGAACTTCAGAAAAATGTTTAATAATAGAGGTCAGTTTCATAATAGAGATCCAAGTAGGTAAATTTGTTACCGGAAGCCTGTTTCTTGTAAAGTGAGGCTAGTAATTCCTCTTTCAATGCGTTGGTAAGAAAACTAGGTTTTCTCAATGCCTAGCCTAGACAGAGTAGGAGCACAAAGATTAGCTAATATTCTTGTATGGTTCTGCTTCACAGTCTTCAGTTGTTTCCTCATTGCCTGCAGAATAAAGGCTCTATTCAGCCTGTCCTCCCACTGTACTCTTCCAGCCTCCTCTGTCACTTGTCTTCATGCATGTTATATTCTAGGAACACTGGACTTACCTATACTCCTTGTTTCCGGCCTTTACTCATGCTGTTTCTCAGCCAAGAAAAGCTTCACCTTTCCTGTTACATACCTACTCATCCTTCAAGATCCAATTCAAATGTCAGCTTCTCCTTGAAGCCTTCGTTGACCTTTCCAGCCAGAATTAATGGATCCCTCACAGCATTTATATTATTCTGCTCTATTAGAGCACTTAACATATTGCATTACATATACCTATAAATGTTCTCTCTTGCTGGTCCCTGAACTCCTTGAGGGCTATATCCAACTATCTAGCAAAGTGGTTCCCAAAGTATGGTGTGGGCACCCCTGGGGATCCTGCTTTGAAACCCTTTCAGAGAGTCCTTAAGGCAAAAATATTTTCATAATAATTCTAAGCTTTTTTAACTCTCATTTTCTCATGCATGTACAGTGAAGTTTTCTAGAAGATACATGGTGTGTGATCTGGCAACAGAAGGAATGCAAAAACAGATAGATATGAGATTCTAGCCATTTTATATTAAGCCAGATACTAAAGACATTTGGAAGAAATGTAAGACAATGCCACTTTTCTTGCTAAGCTTTTTTATGTTTTGAAAAATAATTGAACATTACCAGCCTGGGCAACATGGCGAAACCCTGTCTCTACAAAACATATGAAAATTAGCCAGGCATGATGGTGCACGCCTATGGTCCCAGCTACTCAGGAGGCTGAGGTGGGAGGATTGCTTAAGTCTGGGAGGCAGAGGTTGCAGTGAGCCAAGATTGTGCCACTGCACTGCAGCCTGGGCAACAGAGTGAGATCCTGCCTAAAAAAAAAAAAAAAAAAAAAAAAAACATGTAATTGGTTTATTATTTTTAAATGAATTTTAAAATTTTATTGTATTTTTTGTTAAAGACAGGGTTTCATATGTTGTCCAGATTGGAGTGCGGTGGGTACTCACAGGGGCAATCACAGCACGCTGTGGCCTTGAATTCCTGGGGTCAAGCAGTTCTCCTGCTTCAGCCTCCCAAGTAGCTAGAACTACAGGTGCACACCACCACACCCAGCCTAAATGAGCATTTTTCGGTTCCTCAGTTTTGAATTCATAAATAGGAAATATTGATAGATATAAACCACATAAAGGCATAAAGTTATTTGGGGTCCTTAGTAGTTTTTTTTTTTGAGACAGGATCTTGCTGTATTGCCCAGGCTGGAGTGTGGTGCAATCACGGCTCACTGCACCCTTGATCTCCCAGGCTCAAGCAATCCTCCCACCTCAGCCTCCCAAGTTGTTGACATGGCAGGTGTGTACCACCACATCTGTTTTTTTTTTTTTCATTTTATTTTATTATTATATTTTTTAGATGGAGTCTCGCTCTGTTGCCCATGCTGGAGTGCAGTGGTGCAATCTCAGCTCACTGCAAACTCCACCTCCTAGGTTCAAGGGATTCTCCTGCCTCAGCCTCCCAAGTAGCTGGGATTACAGGCACCCACCACCACGCCTGGCTAATTTTTGTATTTTTTAGTAGAGACGGTTTCACCAGGTTGGCCAAGTTAGGATTTTTTTTCTTTTTAGTAGAGATGAGGTTTCGCTATGTTGCCCAGGCTGGTCTCAAACTCCTGAGCTCAAGCAATTTGCCTGCCTCGGCCTCCCAAAGTGCAGGGATTACAGGCATGAGCCAGCACACCTGGCTGGGGCCCTCAATAATTTTTAAGAGTAAATCTTTTTTCTTAGACCAAAAAGTTTAAGAACCACTGAGGTGGTATGTTGACTGGTACATAATAGGCACCCAATAAATGTTTGTTGAATGAACAGAAGAGTAACAATACTTTAAAATAATGTCATCTTCCTTAAAACCAAGCCTCTTGCATTCCACTGTCAACTTTGTCACCAACTGACACCACATACCCCTGAAAACAATTTCTTAAAACTTTCTTGAATGGAACTCCCCTTCCCCATGTAGTCATTGGATATATAATTTTTATTCTTCTTTATGTTAGAAGTTGATCTAGAGAGGGAAAATGCAATCATAAAGTATTTGGGCTAGGCATGGTGGCTCACACCTGTAATCCTAGCACTTGGGAGGTGGGCCAACTGCTTGAGCCCAAGAGTTCAAGACCAGCCTGAGCAACATATGGCAAAACCCTGTCTCTACAAAAAATTCACCAGGTGTGGTGGTATGCACCTGTGTTCCCAGCCACTCGGGAGGTTGAGGTGGGAGGATCACCTGAGCCCAGGAGGCTGAGGCTGCATGAGCTGAGAACATGCCACCACACTCCAGTCTGGGTGACAGAGACCCTGTCTTGAAAGAAAAAGGGATGGAAGAAAGAAAAGAAAGAAGAAAGAGGGAGGGAGGGAGGAAAGGAAGGAAAGAAAGAGAAAAAAGGAAAGGAAAGGAAAGGAAGAATGGAAGGGAGGGAGGGAGGGGAAGGGAGGAAGGGAAGGAGGGAGGAGGGAGGGAGGGAAAGAAAGAAAAAGAAAGAAGGAAGGAAGGGAGGGAGGGAGGGAAGGGGAAGAAGGAAAGGGAAAAGGAAGGAAGGAGGAAGGAAGGGAGGGAAGGAGAAGGAAGGAAGAAAGGAAAGAAAGGAAAGGAAGAACTATAGGAGGGGAGGGAAGGGGGGAGGGAAAGAGGGAGGGGAGGGGGAGAGGAGGGGAGGGGAGGGAGGAGGGGAGAGGAGGGAGGAGAGGAGAGGAGGGGAAGGGAGGGGGAAGGGAGTGCATGGGGGAGGGGAGAAGGCAAGAAGGGAGGAAAAGGAAAGAACCTGAGCAACAGCCTACAAGTTTATGAAAAAAAAGTTTAAAAAATTAAAATATTTGAGAGCTACCTCTGAGAATATGTGACTTTGCCTTGTTCGTCTCAGCTGGAAAAGTATGACTCAGCCTTCCCAAGCCTGCGAGAGGGCAGAGGGAGGCCAGATCTGTACACAAAGATAATATGTTGCCAAGGCCGTGTGCAGGCTGGTGAAGACAAAAAGTCCTTCTGTTAGCAAGCTGACTGGCACTTTGGCCGGAAAAAATTAAAACCTCAGTTAATTCTGTTTATTTTAAAAGACCTT